TATATATATATATGTATATATATATACATATCGATCCATCTATCTATCTCTATCTTTTTCTTTCTTTCTCTCTCTCTTTGTCGATCTCTGTCTCTTCCTCGCCCTTTCTCTTGCTTTTTTTTTTTCTTCTAGTTGTCACTTTTTTCAATTCGTAAATTAAACTCGGATTTCGTAGGCAGTTACTCTTATTTTTGTGGGCGTGGCCCGCACCGCCCGCACCGCGGGCGCTTAGGGTAGGACCCCACAAGACCGCGGCAAACGGTTTCGGAAGTGACGACTTCCAGCCGACTGCCCACCCCCAACGGAAATCATTGAACAGAGGGGACCCCACCGCCATCGGCAACGGTTACTGAAAAAGGAAATTTCGGGGCGTATTTCCTTTTTGGGAAAGGACTGGGCCTTTGAGCCGATTCCAGGTCCGTACTCGGTGGTCCAAATGGAAGGGCGTATGTGGATAGTGGGCGACCGTGCGGCATTTCCTGCGCGACAGCGATATGGAGGCGGGCGACATACCGTCCCCGGTACCGGGTTCCAAGCCGTTTGCCCGTTGGCCAGTACGTTATGACTCGGGAAGTCGTCCACTGGTTCAAGGCCCAAGGGCGCACAGCGGCCAACGCCATACCCGTTCCCTTTGAAGCTTCCAAGCGCATCGTCTACCTCACTGCACGCGGGGACGCCCTGCGCGCCCCTGCGAGCATTCGGGTGACGAAGCACACGACCGGTTGCATCGTGCTCACTGACTTCGGTGCGGGTGACGTTGGTGACAGAAGGCAGCCTTTTTCGAAGCGCGACGTGTTGTTCCTCCTGTTCCAGGATTCGGTATCTGCGCACACATGGACAACGGAGGAGCACATCATCGGCAGCGCAACGGAGGAGACGAGGTCGTTGACGACGTGCTGTTCATGACCGTCACGGCGATTATCCAGTGGATGAACAAGCGAAATGCAGTAGTCATGGTTGTGCTGCAGGCTGCAGCCTCCATGCCTGTATTCAATGCCAACTCGCAGCAGTGCTTCGTACTCCTTGCAGGATGTGTGTGCCACACCATGGCTGTTCAGTGGCTGGCGATGAGGAATATGGAGAGGGTGATGGATCATGGAAGGAGGATTTGGGTGTTCGAGCGGAGCGGGGGGGTTTGGAAGGACCTACAGCGTGTGGGCAATCGTCATGACAAGGTTTTTGTGAGATTCTGCAGGCTGCCACGTCCACTCTTCCATGAAGTGCTTCAGCTCATTGGTCCTCACATACAGCGCCAGACCACGAATTGGAGACAACCTCTGCCGGCGGAGCAGAAATTTGCATGTGCCCTCATCAGGTGGGCGACTGGTGGTTGCTACAGGCAGTCAGGTCACGGGCTGGGCATAGGTCTTATGAGTGCGCTGCGAAGCAACAAGGATGTGGCTGAAGCTATCGTGAGGGAATACGCTCATGTCATCTCCTTTCCACAGGGACGACGTCTAGAGGACTGCCTCGATCACTTCGAACACAAAGGCTTTCCTGGGTGCGTGGGCGCTATCGACTGTACACATTTGTACATCGAAAAGCCCATGAATGAACGTCCGGAGTGCTACTACGATCGGACTAGACAATTAGCCATTGTAGCACAAGTCGTTTGCGACCATGAGTGTCGGATTTCTGACGTCTATGTCGGGAGCCCGGGATCTCTTCACGACTCTCGCGTGTTGAGAATGTCCTGTCTTTGCGTTCAAGGAAAGAGCGGCGAAGGTGTGTTTTCCGGGGAACCTACGTTGTTGCGGGATGGAACATCTATTGCACCCTACTTGTTGGGAGATGCGGGCTTTCCTTTGCTCGACTGGCTGACGACTCCCCATACCACCCGTAGGGATCGCACCCCTGCGCAGGTGACATTCGATGATGTTCACTCAATGGCGAGGAATGTCATTGAGTGTACCTTCGACATTCTGAAGGGCATCTGGAGGAATTTTGGGCGGCGACAAATCGACAATTTGAAGACCATTTGCTGCGAGTTCATGGCCGTCTGCATCTTGCACAATCTGCTCATCGACTTCAAGTCGATCTGCAGGACATGATGGAATCAGACGACGACCCGGAAGATGACGACACCGATGACCATAATCGTCGCCGTAGGCGACGTCCTATAGTTCCATCCAACGCGAGGGATGAGGAGGATGACGACGGCGTTCGCATCAACTTTCAGGGTCTGACGATGACATCGCAGCGGATCAGGGCCAGATGGGTTGGACTGGTTGGCCATCATGTCCGCGTACATGGTCCGCCTGATCCCGGTCCGTGGCGAGCATGAGCGCTACACACACACACACACACACACACAGAGAGAGAGAG